TTAGGAAGCCTAGTGCGGAGCGATAGTCTTGCTCTTCGCAGAATTGTCTGACTTTGTCAAACATGCGCGACGGCGGTGTTATGCCCCTACGCTGGGCGCGTCTCACGTACTTTTCGTACATGTCCTGGACCTTTTGTACCAGTTTTTGCGCTTTTGACGGGCTCACCTGGCGCAGCTGGTAGCGCTCATGGTCGGCCTCCGCCGACTGGGTGCGTTGAGGGTTCCTGGGACTGGCCATGAGGGCTAAATAGAAAATGTTTGAAGAAACTGAGATGTAGGTGCGGAAGCGTTGGAGTACTCGACTCCGAGGTCTTTTGACCGGTTGGTCTAAGATACCAAAGTTGTAACAAAGCTTGCAGTTGGCAAGCAGTTGCGAAAAAGGAAATTATCCAACGATAAAGGTGGTATTGATAAATACCGTTTGGTATTGGAAGATTATGAATAGTTCTTGGATGTACCGTTGGTACGATACCGTTGGCCCGGTGAGCCAAGGGCCGCCTTAGCGGCGTTACAGCAACACGGGCCGGCGTCCCAATCTGGAGGCCCTATGTCTTATGCGACTAATGAATTTGAAATTTGACGTTTTGAGCTCGGTTGAGGACAATGCGGGATTGTGAGCCCTGTCCTCTTTCCTCCCACCGCCATCGTCCCCATTTCCCCCAGCTCCCGATGCTGCATTACAGTGGAGGGCTTGCGCTTGCGACCGCATTATTTAGAAGGATTTTCCGTGCCCTCCACATATACAGTCGTAAACGCGATAGGTAATAGGCGAGCTGGGTGAACCTTCGCGCATCTCCAGCCTGGTTGGCCAACCGGAAACTAACCACCAAGGAAGCCTGGACACAGCATGACTGCACCTGTTTAGGTTTTATTAAATTCGTAGACAACACGGATGGAGAGTATTAACTGTTATGTACTGGGGTATCAAAATATATGGACTCAAAACAGAATCTTCTACAAGCTAGAATTGTCGCAGCAACCGACTAGTTAGAAGTCTTGAGCAAAGTCGAACGTTTTTGATCGAAGATTCTTTTGCTCGCATATCGTCTTTTTTGCTATACTTACTACAGTTTACAAGTATAAAACTGTGCTGTTAAACTTATGAACTGCCCACGAGTGGCATTCCTTGCCATCGCGCTCTTATGCATAGCGGATTGCTGCTTTGGTTGGCTCAGAGGAGATTGGCTCGGTGATGGCCATGCATTTCGCACGCGACTAAGGCCAGAGTTTTCCTGGAGGCAGCGTATACCCCGCTTCAGCATCACAGGGAACAATGCCTTGGAGCCAAACGCAATTACGCATATTATTCAAAATACATATAACTTCACTCTACCGCCGGTCCAACTGCGGAGAAGCCTGGCTTACATGGGCGCTGCGTCGAGGCTGCGGCGGGCGGTACAAAAGCTCGCACATGGATCACATCCGATGATAAAGATAGCCGTTATTGGGGGCAGGTAAGATGAGGGACACGGCTGCCCGCGTCGTTCATACTGCTGGCCGCAAACTGCTTGTACGGTCACCACGGCTTGGATGCTCTTCTACCAAGTGGTGATCGATCGCACATGACAGCTTATCCCGGCTGGCCCGCGGCTACCCTAAATCCCTTTTAACCCCGCTGATAAACTCCCTCCCTTCCTCCTTTCCCCATTCCTTCCACGCATTTCGGTTTCACATTGCCTTTTACTCAATCCCCAAACGCCAACAGCATTAGCTTTGGCGAGTTTGCAAGCAAGAAAGGCGAGACAGACTGGTTCAGCATCTTCGCCAAATGGCTGGTACGGCAGCCATGTGAATCGCGTGGGTTGGGAGTTGAGAGTTAGTTGGTGGCGGTTGGGTTGAGAAATGGCGCAGCACATGTGCTATGGGCGCCGATCCCCTCTTGCGCTCTTGGCCTGTTGGTGCTCCTGCAGCCCCTCAAACCAGCTGGATCTGTCTCTGTTAGGCTTCTGCATCGGCAGTGGGGACGGCGGTATGTCCCGAATGAGGGGCTGATAGCCTGTTGTTAGGTTCAGGTACCCCGGTCCCTCCGTGCAGACGGTTTTTCCCCCTGTCCCTCCTTCCCTCCTCTCCCCCAAAGGAGAATACAAAATCGTCCTTCACTCCCTACACCCACATTCCCTCCGCCACCCCCCTCCCCAGATATCTGCGTTCCCCCGCGCCAACATCACCGCTCGTAACGGCTGCACTCCGGGTGTTCCCACGCCGTACATGATCATGTGCTTGGAGCTGTCCGTGGATCCAGATGTGGATCTCGTGTTCATGGAGTACACGCTCAAGTGAGTGGGGGGAGAGAGGGCGAGGGGGGAGGGGCATTGGAGGGAGCGGGAGGGGGATTGGAGGGAGCGGGAGGGGGAGGGGGGGTGGGAAGAGCGAGTGGAGGGGAAGGAAGAGGGAAGAGGGGAGAGAGACGGGAGGGAAGAATGAGGGGAGGGGAGGGGAGGGGAGCAGGAAGAAGATCCCGAAATGAACACCTTTGAAATCTTTAGGAAATGCCCCATTAAGAAATGCCCATAAACGACCCTTTTCTATTAAATTCACAGCCAAAAAGCTGTGAACTTCCCTGCTTTGAATCAACCCAACCTGTACTCGGCCTATGCGCAGTGACGCGCACAGCCTGGGACGCATGGCTGAGGAAGCCAAGTTGGCCGACAACCCCATCGTCAAGAACGCCGAGCGGTTGGTTCGTCGAGTGCTCGAGCTCCCTAACCGCCCTGCCGTAGTCTTCGTACACTCGCCCGTGTGCGGCATGGCCAACTACCCGATTGGGCATCCCAAGAACCCCGAACGGACGCCGTACAGGTATATACGGAGCGCTTTTGAAGCGTGTATCGCATTGTGTGTTTTGTGCGCGGGGGGGGCCCCGAGGGGGAAAGCTGGATGGGTGTTGGGGGCCGGGCCGGGAGTGTTGAGTTTTAGATCTTGCTGCAAGGTATGTATTGTGTATGGGGGGCCGAGTTGCCGGGGGGAGATGGTGCAAGAGGTGATGTCGCAAAGTGCTGTCGCGAGTCTGTTTGTGCGCGTGCTGCTGTGCCGAGATATGTGTGTGCGTATGTATGTGCGTCAAACCGCCACCCGATTCATCTCAAAGTCCCAATGGAAAAAAGCTCCCCGCAGGCTGCCTTTCCCTCCGGTTGGCGGATTTGAATTACCCCACCATATAACGTTTGGATTGACGTCATATATTACCGATTACTCACAGCGCTTTGGGAGTCCACCTAGCCAACCCCTGCCCTCCCTTTCTAAACCTCATTCCATATCATGCGGCGATGCCGTACACGCCATGCAGGAGATTCCCCAAGACTAGCGAGGACATACAAGGCAAGTACGTACGGCGCATGTCTACGGCAGTGTGCGCGATGTGCGATGTGCCCTTGATGTGTGTTTGTTATAACACGGATTGCTGTCCTCTCGCGCTCAGTTCGCTTCCTCCTCGCCCTCCTCTATCTTCCGCCACAACAATAACCCTCTGTAAAGTAGATTAATTACATCGCGCAATTTATCGGAATCGATCCCGGAACTTTGATGGATATTATGCCGCGCTTTCATTTGTCTATTGAGTCTTGCAACATTAGACCGTGGTGATGCTGCCGATGCCGGAGGAGCCGGACCACACTGTGTTGATACCACTGTCTGTCTGTCTGTCTGTCTGTCTGTCTGTGTTTTTACCCTCGTGTGTTCACCCGCAGGCGCCATTTCGCAGTACTACGACGTACAGTACTTGTCTGTACGTACGGCAATGTACCGTCTTGCTGTACACAAGCAGGAGCCCGGGTTTCTTTGGGAGGATATGTTTGTGGGTGAGTGGGTGAGTGGGTGGGTTGTGGCAGCGTGTTGAGACAGCCGTGTTGTGGCTGTTGGTGTTGTGGGACCTGGGGGTCGTGGGGTTCACCTTGCCCCCTTGCTCCCGCCGCTTCCGGGCAGTTCACCCCAGGGCAGTTCTCCGGGGGAGAGGGTCTACGGAGTCCTTTCACCACACAGGTGTTCCTTTTGTCTCAAACGCCCCTCCTCCAACTCCTCCACCTTCTGCCCCCTCCTCCGCCTCCTCCTCATCATCCTCGTCATCATCCTCGTCGTCGTCGTCGTCATCATCATCATCACCATCATCATCACCATCATCATCATCATCATCATCATCTCTGCCCCGGCACGTCGCCGATTTACTCGTACGGATTGGTGCAATCTGCCCTTTGATGACGGTGGCGTTAATGACGGTGGCGTTAATGACGGTGGCGTTAATGACGATGGTGATGGTGACGATTATGCTACCGGACAGATCACCACCCGGGGGATCACGGGCACAAGATCTTTGCCGATCTTGCCGTACATCTGATCCAGCAGGTAGCGTTGGGCCTGATGTTGGAGCCGTACAGTCCTGCGGACGAGGAGGCGGTCTCGGAGCCCCTCCCGGAGCCCATGTACGAGGGTGCGTGTACGAACAGGATTGGTAGTACGAACAGGATTGGTCGCTGGCCAACGGGGCTGGCGCATGACCGTTACACAGTAAACATTGGCATTGAAGCTGAAGGTCTGAAGGTTGTCGCTTTGCGCGGTCGGTTGTCGGTTGTTCATTGCCTGTTAAACTGTAGAACCTAGATTGCCTCCGGAAGCCCACAGCTCCAAAACCAACGAAACCAACTAATCCCATATTTCTTCGCCCCCAGGCACATGTCGCCCGCCTGGTCGCTCCCAACAACTCACGCGATATGCTCCCTACCGATATGCTCCCAATAAAATTTTAAACCTTAAAAATCTTCAGGAAAAACTTTGTCTGTGCTAAAATACACGTCCATGCAGGTAACATCGCGCCCAACACCGTCATGTGCAGCGTGGCGGAGTCCTTCCAGTGAGTGGTGCCGTACTCGGCGTCGTACGTGCTGCCGTACACGCGAGCATGGTATGGTATGGCTTATATGGAGTATGTAGTGCGCAGGGTCACTGGCGGCGGCAGCTGGCCGGTCGCAGGGCATGTACCCCCCACCTCACGTCATCATCTCACCTCACCTGGAATCTGTCTGAAACCTGTGGAGTGGTGGTGGTGCGGCACAGTGCCGCTGCAAATGGGCCCTCAACCCGTCCTCACAAAATTTCCGGCTGCAGCCACTTAGTTAAGTCTATCAATTGAGCCCTCCCCCCTCCCCCC